GTGAGTTCCAGCCCTGCATCGGGCTCTGTGCTGACAGCTCAGAGCTGGAGCCTACTTCAGATTCTGTTCTCCCCCCTCTCTCTACCCTTCCCCTGCTCACGCTCTGTGTCTCTGTCTCTCAATAATAATAAATAAACATTAAAAAAAAAAGATGTACATCACTAGTATTGGTAATTAGCGGGGCTTGAAAAGAAGCAAAAATCACAGATTTTTAGACCATACATTATCGCCTTTAAAATAGGTAAATTCCCGTGTAAAAAGCCTCTGTAAAATTCAGAGGCTACCACAGTAAATACAGGACTTTATTTCACACAGGTAAATAAGTCCATAGATACAAAGCACAAAAAAATATGAGAGCTTTGTATAATCATTATTTTTGAATCCACAAGAACAGCTTGAAAGACTGTCTTTACTGAGCAAAATATTCAATAATGAAACCAACGAAATCCATACTAGTAAAGTCAGAAGAATGTTGTGATAACAGATGAGAGGTGATACAGGCTGGCAATGGAGCATGATGACAATGGTCACGTGTCCTCTGCATATTACCATGTGGTAAAAAGTAGGAGAAAAAAATTAATACTTTCCCCAGTATTACAGCAGTCTAACCCAAGTATGGACTAAACTGACTTCACCAAGTCCTGTGTTATGTGTGTGTGTGTGTGTGTGTGTGTGTGTGTGTGTGTGTATGCCTATGTGTGTGTGTGCATGCATGTGTATCTCAGTTATAGAATCTTTTTTTTATTTGATAAAGAATATGAATGTTTAATAAACCAATATTCAAAATAGTTACACACATCTGTTTTCACTTTATGTGAATTAAAAAAAATCACATTGTGACAAATCTTATAACCTTAACTTAAAATACACGAATATTAACATTTACTAATATGTTTACACATCTTATTTACATCATCAACAAATCTGATGGAAAACAGTATATGTTATTTTAACACAGCAGGTTTTGATCAGTCTTTGAAAATTGATCCAGGAATGTGCACTGCATTTAGTTAAAAAACATTTCAACCTTTCTGAACTCCTAGAAGTTACCTACTCACACAAAATATTCCAAAGCCTCTGTTTAAAAATTAAACAAAAACAGGAGCAGCTGTATTTCATCTTAAAAGACTATAAAACTGCTTTGTTTAAAAATATGAAAATTCTTATGGTATTTTTTAAGTGTATGCTTTTACTTTTTGCATCAAAATTACTTAAATGAACATTAAGCATCTAATAAAAGTTATAATACCTTTATGAGGTAGGGCCAGTAGTAATCCCATTTTACAAAGGAGGAAAATGAGATGTGCCTATACGCTACTGAAAAGACTGAAGTTAAATTTCTTTTCTTAAAAACCACACTTTCTTATTAGCCTACCTAATTTCTTTTACAAGTGAAAAGGCCTGTTTCAAAGCAGGGGACTGGAGAGGTTGGGAGAAGTGTGTCATTCAAGTATTTCTCAGCAAAGTAACTTCTATGTTGGATACTTAATAAGGGGGGAAAAATTAGGATTATGGGTTACCTGAATGCATCTACCTAATCAACGGAAGTTACTAACAGAACTGCAAAATCCTTCACCAACATGGTACTTTACGCTTTTTAATTTTTCCTGAAGTCGAAATACTGTTTCTTTTTTTACTCAGAGGTCTTCTAAAATTAAGATCTGAATTATAATCCTGATGGTACACCAAGAGCTCTTTAGTGCATTTTACTGCTCTAAACTTTAATTAGATACCAATATATTTCCCACCACTGACCACTAGGTAAGTTAATAAAACATTATAAAAATACATTTAAAAAAAAAAAACAACGAAATGAGATCTCTTCTCAGGTTCGTCTCTGCACAAAGATGTTTCTGTAAACACTTTTAAACCAGTATCTTAAAATTCCAAATTATTCAAGTATCTCTTTAAACATATGTCTACACATTAGTAAAAATTGGGGCAAATATGTAAAGTCTTGAAATTCTCATCTGTAATTCCATGAAAATCATTTACAAAAAGCTATTTGCCTTTTTTTAAAGCCTTCTCAATACCATTTCTTGAGAAGCAGAATTCCATCTTGCATTACTATTACTTTGCATTGCAAGTTTTAGCAATTTCTATTGGGTATTTAAACTAATTTTTCCTGAATTCTCCCTTCCCATTTTCTCCCTCTCATCATTGCATCATTGTCACACTGTTACTAGCTGACAAACACTAGGGCTAGTGAGACTCATCTTTCTAAGAAATTAAGTTAAAGGCATGGCACTTTTTCTTCATTGCAAATGCTAAATACAAGGCCAAATTCACCTTCCAATAAGGAGTTTCTTAAATGTGCTCCCAATAGAGGGGTGGGGGGTGGGGGAGAAGCTCCACTGCTACAATATAAACCTACCAGAAAAGAAGATCCAAAGAACTGTGAATCAAATACAAGCAAGCATAATTCTTAAGATAGTTCTATTATCCTGGGAAGGGAGGATCAGTTACAGAATCTTCTTAAAGAATGAAATATAGGTTACAAATATAGCACACATAATCTACAAATAGCATTAAAAACAGCTTCATTAAAAGCAGCTTCATTAAAAAAATGCACACAGTTTTATTTCAGATCCTAAGACATATGATTCATGTCAACTCTGAACAGGAAAGTTATATATATGGCTAATATACTTGAAATTAATGGGTAAAGAACAATCATATAAGTCACTGCCAGAAAGACCACTGAGGGTTCTTAACATACCTATAATTTACAATATTGATGTTTTCAATTTAAAAGCGTAGAAACCACATAAGAAAACTATAATGGTTTTTTGTATAGTAGACCCTTCAACTCGGATTTGAACTACACAGGTCCATTTACACACAATTTTTTTTCAATAAACAATGCAGTACTATAAATGTATTTTCTCTTCCTTATGATAGTCTTAGTAACATGTTTTTCTTTAGCTTACTTTATTGTAATAATACAGCACATAATACATATAACATACAAACTACGTGTTAACCAACTGCTTACATTATCCGTAAGACTTCCAGTCAACAGTAGGCTATTAGTAGTTAAGTTTTAGGGGAGTTAGTTAGAAGTTCTATGCAGATTTTCAACTGCTTGGGGGGTGGGTAGTGTAAAGGCATGAAAGAGTGTATCTTCCTTTATTTTACTACACTGTAAATGTAAATCAAGTCTTGGAATGAACAAAGCACACACATTTAAGGGCTATTACTAAAAGCCCCAAATAAATATTGCCAAATAAAAGTGAACTTCCTTGTATGACTTCTATAATGGAAAAAAAAAACAAGACCATCCAAAAACTTTAATACATCAGCATACTTAAAATGTGAAGCTTGTACAGATCTTTTAAAAGTAAAAGAGATTCACTGGTTTGATTTCCAGTCACTCTTAAACCTATGAGAAAGCCAAAAAATAAAGAGAAAGGAAATTCTGGAATTCTTTATGTACTGGGTTAGGTTTAACTGTATGACTGAAACTCTACAGTTTTAACATTTTTCAATTCTACAATGTTCAAATTAAATACATTTTTTTAAGCTTAGAAGAACTTCAATTTGAATAAAGGTGGCTAGTACAAGAGTGGGAAAAAAAATTGAAGGCCCAAAAGGCCAGGTGACTTGTCTTCTAAAATTCATGTAACACTGGACAAATTACTTAGCATGTCTTCATGGATTTCTACATTAAAATGGAAAGATAATGACTGAGATAATTTCTCTCCCCTAAAACCTAGTCGTATTGATCAAAAATTGTAAAAAAAAAAACCAGTCCCCTCAAAAACCTCTTACCTATAACAACCAAACACAAACACAGAAACAGAAAGGGGCAAAAATCAAGGTCACAAACTTAAAAAGTTCTCGCAAATGGTCTAGGATAAAAACATAAAGTTCTAGAGTGGAGAAGAGTTAGAAGTGTGGCCAGGATCCTAGCATACCTTCATCATCCTTCTTT